AATAAATGTTATACAGCACAAAATAGTCTGTGCATTCGTTTTAATGGAGGGACATGTCGCCCGGTAATACAGTGATCTGGATGGCACATGTACACAGTGTGTTGTTGGCTGTGGGGTTTTCATGGGATTTATTAATATGGAAAAATCACAAAATTTATTCTTTAATGATTTTTATTACATTTTTTGATGTGCGAGTCTAATCAAAGATAATTCCTTTTCCTTTATGCTGATTAGTAGTTTTACCATAAGAGTAAAAATCAAAGGCAAGATCAAATATGAATGTTAACGTTTATGGACTTGTGCCATTCTTCACTTTATTGTGGCGTACAGTGAGATGTAGTCTCTAGTTTCTGTTATCAAGCCCATCCATGTTAGCCAAAGTGAAACAAATTCCCTTTTCTTTAATGTAATTTATTCTGTCGTCTGTAGCTTTAAGCTAAATCTGTTTGTATGCAGCATTCGTTCAGCAAGTGCCTAATTTTATATTAAGTTTGTATTTTGCATATTTGTGTAAGATGTCATTAGTACCATAAATATACTGTAATATATTTATGGTACGTCTAAAGGGAAATGCTGTAATATTCTGTATGAATGCTAGTTATATTTCTTAATGAAAGCAATTTCAATAATTGATTTATTAATAAATTTATTTGCTTCACTAAGTGATTCCCATTGTGCTTTTGTTGCATGTGTGTGCCGTCATGTGCTACAGGCATGCTCAGATAAGAGGTCATTAATCTGTAAATGATGTTAAAGCTAATGTTTTGTTTCCCAGTCGTAGTCTCTAACACATGATGCGGTAATAGCTGGGCAGCGCGCAGTGTTAATCCACCCACTAACAGCTGTTTCTCCGGTTGACGTCGAGACGGCTAAAACCTCTGCAGTTGGCATGACAACACCACTTCCCACCGCCAATGTGTCACCAGCCATCATCAGCTATCTCAGCAGGGGTTTATAATCCACTGGCTGATGGATGACTATCTGCTGCAAAGAGTGGGATGAGTCTACTTTTCTTCAAGGCCAGTGACTAACTGAGGCCGGACTGACTGATCTGTTGGGTAAATGAATGAGCAGAGCTCAAACTAACCCAGAAACGTCTGTCTCGGTGTGGGAGGTTTCCAGTGCATGTGGAGTAATGTACGGATTTACATTTCTGAGGTCTGTTCTGCAAAGATAGACTCTGACTATCACTCAGAGGTGTTAAACATACAGCCATACATTAAAAACATAGACTGTATACTAAAAAA